ATATTTACTTTTTTTTGTCAGCAATCTTCCTGTTTTTCTCTGTCTTTTGTGTTACTCAAAAAAACAATAGAAATGTTAGCTCAGGATGGTGGGGGTTTTGTTTCTTGTTTGTTAAGTTTTCTTTGTCATCCGAACTGGTAGTCTGCCAAAGGCCATGTGGGATCCAACACTGATGTAGTTTAAGGCTTTCATTCTCATGTTTAGGTCTAGCAACTTATCTGTATTTAAGAGCCATTCAACTTTTCAACAATTTTCAATTTTTCATTCACTTTCAAGGGGGGAAAAGGCTGTGGCGAGACTCCAGAATCAATTCTTATAGTAAGAATCATAAGAGGAAATAGAATGAAATAAGTGAGCTTTCATATGTTAAAGGAAAGCAGTGCGTATTTTCATCCTATTTATTTCTACAGACACATAAATACAAAATGCGTGGACCAGATTCCCTTACTGGCCTGGTACTAATAGCAGCTGGGCCTTGCCTGATCACCAGCGGCTTTGGATATTGTCAGTAGTCCTAGATAGAGCATGCTTCTGTTTACAGACATCAGCTGTAATATCTTGGGGCGAGGGGGGCGGGAGGGAGGTTGGAATAGCAGCCTTGGTTTCGAGTCACAAAATAATGGCACAGACTTTATCTCTTTGGAAAGTTCAATGGTCACTCTACTTTGTCTTAATATTTTTTGTTTGCATTTCAAAAACTATTGATAAGGATTTGAATTGATGGGAAATAGAAATGCTTCTCTTTTTCTTGATACCCAGTCTTAGCTTTGATTGAAAGAGTTTATGTGTCCAAGGTATTTCATTTGTATGGAACTTTCTAATTTCTTATGATAAGGACAAGCCTCCTGGCCTGAAGTTACAATTTATTTCATGTCTCTGAGTACCTATATGGAGTTCTTTCCAACATACACGGTTGGGGCATCTCCTGGATATTTGAAATGAACCTTCTAGAAATGAAGTGCATGTTTTAATTGCAGTAAGTACATGGCATTTGGGTCTCTAGTTCAGCACACATGAAGCCATTAACAGGAGACTTTTAAGATAATAGTAATAGCAAAAGACACCTGGCCTTGAACCGATGTTATTATAACATTTGTATATTAGAGTGAACTTCTATCTTGGGACCTCCCTCTAACTATAAAAACTTTTCTCTAGTTGCAGTGGGATAGAAGTCGCCTCCAACCCAACTTCATTTACCTGCTTCGCAATTTAAAATGTGACTCCCTCAGTTGTGCATTTTGGATCTCCCATGACTGGGGACCTGGGTGGGGGCTGTTAGAATGCTGAGAGATAAATGTGAGGGCTGGACTGGAGAGTGGTTGTCTAGAAACATCTAACAGAGCCATAAGCTCATTGTTAAAGAAGCCCTTGGTGCTCTTTCTTTTTTATTTATTCAGTGGTCTCAGGAATGGCCTCTTTTTATCTCGCCTTGTCTGTTGCTTCTCATGAAAGATTCTCTATCTGAAACCACAGAGGAGTTAAATACCAGCTTGGTTTTTCTCTTATCACTTTGTCCCTAAAGCGTGCTCCCAGCTATTTGTGGAGCGTTCGCAGAAGGGAAGGGCGCCCGCACCTGCTTTGGCCCTCCCATTGTTATCCACCTCAGCCTCGGAACAAGTTCAAAGAGCAAACTCTGAAAGAAAACCCAGGCTCTCCTGGGCATTTCATCCTTAGATCTGGTATAGGTTGAGTAAAGACAACCAAAATATACAAGTGGGTTTATACAATCCTTGTTTTTAGCAACACGCCGCTTATTAGTGACCTTGACAGGAGCTGCTTTAGAAGAGGAGAGGGTCAAAAGGATGGTGGGAGTGGATTTAAGAGAAAAACGGGAAGTGAGCAATTGAGAAAGTAAGTAAGGACAAGTCTGAGAGGCTTGGCTCTAAGTCAGTCAACCGCTGAGGTGGTAAATGGACCAGGATGTGGAGTCAAAGTCAAAGAATTCTCTTCTCTAAAGCTTAGGGTTATTATCAATACAACATACTTGTGCACTGAAGATACTGGTCACACAAAGAAGGAAGCTTCTATGAGGTGGTAGTGAGGACACCGCGGCCAGAAGGATGTCCTTAAATAAAGCAAGTGTAGTGCGCATGCTCCCCGTGAGGCGCTGTCCTCGGGGTGAGCGGAGCAGGTCCTAACAAGAGAGAGGCGTGTCTGTGCGTTCAGTGCACAGACAGGGAGGGCTTATGGGGGTTTGCTCTCTCCTGTTGGCTTCTATGAATGAGTTAAATGAGAGTGAAGGAGATCATGCTGGATGTTTGAAAAGAAGGGAGAAGGTGTGAAATAGTTGTCTGGGAGATTGGAGGAGTGCGTGGAGTAGGGATTGTAGTGGGATTAAGGTTGTCCTTGAAGTTTACAGTCCTGACTTTACGTGGGACCGGGACAGGAAAGGGGTGCATGTGTGACCCTGGACGCACTGTGTGCTAAGGGAGTTTACACAGGTATACTAGCTCTCGACAAAGTTCTTGGGAAAATTAAACGTATCAGAAAGCATTTTGAAAATCGTTTCTTGGCCTTTTTGGCTCAGATCAAGCATAGAGAAAGCATTTTGAACTAAAGTACAGGACACCATTATTATGAAACTTAGCTTTGAATTACTTAGCATTTTTCCTTGCAAAATGCTTTTCAAATTTCTTTAAGGCAGCCTTCATATCTCTGGAGACAGTACTGGGCTGCTGCCACTGACTTACTCCGTCGTCTAAGCGATGACTTAACCTCCCTCCGCTCCTACCTCTCTGTCTGTAAAATGAGGGTGGTGATGTTTAAAGTGCCACAAATGTTTTATAAATGAAGGTGCTACCTATGTACAAGCTATTAATAAACTGGCATTTCGGCCCTGACTGTGGCAAGCACCAGGAAATCACTAAGGTTGGAGCATCTGGAAAAGTCCCAAGTCTTAGGCGGTTGATGCCTCTCTTGGAAAGCTTTGAAAGGGGGAAGGAAAATTTGGTGTCACTCATATTATTTCCTTTAATTCTCACAAATACTCTGTGAGGTTCGTTATTAGAACCTGAAAGCCAGAGAGATTAAGTAACCTGTGAAAGTCAAGTGGTAGAGCTTGGATTTCAACCCAGACCGACCTTAAAATCCCATGCTCTTTCTGCTTTGCCACATGTGGAATTGGGCTTGATGCGTGATAGCCACAGAAGGTACAGAAAAATTTATATATTATAGATCTGTATTTTAGCCCATTTAATCTCTTCTCTGACATCAGATATTTGACTGGAGTTGCTCAGTAGCAGAATAAGCTGGTTTATTGTAAATATCATCATGATAGGGTCCTTTACAAGAAATCACATGACAAGAAAAGACAGGAACATCCAGGGGAAGAAGCGGTAAGCTAACTAAAAATTTGCACTTAGCGACAAATGTGGTTTTCAAACACATTTCGGGGAAAGGGTGCATGCTAGAAAATAAATAAATGCGTGTGGTCACAGGAACTGCAGGCCCCCTTGGCCACTGTGCCGTTTCCTGCAAATGCACCATGTACCTTAGGAACCATAGAGCATAAACTGCTCTGAGAGAAAATCGCTGCTCCATTAGATTTTGATTTTTGAGTAACAATTACCCACCTGATAGAGAAGGTGATAGAAAAAGTATATTTATTTTCTTCCAAGAGCTAAAAGGTGATCATACTTCTAAAATTTGTTGAGATTGTCCAAGAAAGTGTGTAAAATACCCATCCATCACTGGAAAGCCCCTGGTCAGGAAATGACAGCGCAGTAAATATCTTCAGCAGCCACCTTTTAATGTACAAGCTGTTTTCGGTTGGAATTTTCAGCACTCACATAAAACACACTGTCATGAGTGACTGCTTGTGCTCCAAAGTCATTACCATTGGGATAATGGAACATCTCTCAGCGAATAACCAAAAAACTTTAAATGTCATGTCAAGTTTGTTGAAGCCATTTTCAAGCCGCATTCAAGGTTGCATGAATATTGAGGGTGTCTGTTTTTTCCAAGTTTGAGCTCTATGAGAGAGATCACTCATACGGTTGTGCAGTGTGAGAGTCAGTTAATTAAAAGAAAATCTAGCGTTCTTTGGAAAAGTCAATCAGCCGGAGCCATTTAGTCCTTAGCTATTGCAACTCTCTCCTTAGAGCCTTGATAAGTCATCATCACTGTCACTTACCAAAAAAAAAAAGAAAGAAAGAAAGAAAGAAAGAAAAAAGAAAAGAAAATATGTGTGTATGTGTACGGTGTATATATTTGACAGTTAAGTTATGACATAATTCCATTTTGCTAGGAAGTTTTAACAATTTGCCTGCCAAATTCAATATTTCTTTTAGGGGAAATCATTAACTTTTTAAATTCCTATTAGAAACTTTTCTCCTTGGTTTTGTTTCAAAAAGAAATTAACCTCATTTTTATTCAAACTAATGCTTATGCTGGGTGATAGAGTGTGGAAATAGTTTCTTTACCCGGTGTCTATTTACTGAACACCTACTTTGTTCCAGGGCCGTTTTGGCCACGGAAGTTAACAGCAGTGTTCAAAACAATGTTCCTGACGTCTCAGAGCTTACATTCTAATAAAGAAATAGACAATGGGCAAGTAAACAAGTATATAATGTGTCCAGTGGTTATGAATTCTGTGGGGGAATAGATAAGGGGATAAGGAGATGCTGTGATGAAAAGAGGAAGTGCATGTTACACGCATAAAGATGGTCAGGGAAGACCTCTTTATTTAGATGGCATGTGAGCAGACACCTGAATGAAATACAGAACACGCTTTTGATAATAACTGAGTGATGGGCCTTGCAAGCATAAAGGAAGAAAGAAATGAGCATACGTGCTAATGAAATCACTGTCTATTTATATTTCAGTTTACTCTTAACCTCTGCATGTTCATTTTAAATCTACCTCACTCTGTTGAATACTTTTAGCTTAATATACCTAAGAGGATTTGTTTAGTGAGAATAATTTTGTTTAAATTATATTTTGTAATCTGCACAGTCCTTGCTTATCACAGTGATAAATTTTATGTTTCTTCCTTACTGTAGAAAATCAGAAAGTGCAGTTGACAGAAGGGTCACGTTCGCACTGCAATATCAATTGCAACTCAACAAGGATTCCGGTCACCAAGGAGCTTAATTATAATCTAGACACTCACACGTCTGCAGGGAGGATCAAGGCAGTTGAGAAGAAGGAAGCCTGCAATGCAGAAAGCAACAGAGAAAAGGAAATGGAACTTCTTGGCTCTGTTTCTAAAAACGAATCCATTCCTGAAGTTGAAGCCCTGCTGGCAAGATTACGAGCTTTATAAATTAAACTAGTGGAAAAAATAAAAAATGATCACACCAAATATCAAACCATGCTCTGAGCGCTAACACTTGAAAAAAATGCTTTTTATATGTTACTTTATATAATTTAAATTATGATATATATTAGAAAAATAAAGCTAAATACATGATTGCAATGCTTTTCCTATGGACTTGAGGTTGTGACTTAATCAAGGTTGTAATGGGCTTCAGTGTTTTTTTGTCACCTGGTATTTATGTGTTCTATATTTGGTGGTTAAATTATACTCAGTGCTTTAGAGAGCAGGTAGGTGGCCCTGTGTTCAGAATTGAGTACTTAAGAAAATACCAAGCTTCTAAGTCAACTGTAATGTTTACTTTATTATTTTCAACAGTAATGAACGTCAAATCTTCAACCTCAAGTCTTGCTACATATCCATGCATGTTATTTATACTGGCCCAGATTTTTCCTGAATTGGGATTAATATGCTGTTAGCATGGTATCAAAAACATAAAACTGAATAAAATAAAGCTGTGAGGAAATGATTGGTAAGCTTTTTACCATCATTGAATTCATATTAATTAGACCTATATGAAACTATAAGATCATTGAGCACATTTCCAAAAATGATGTACTAGGAACGTATGCATTCTTTCCAAATGCACAAGCTTTAATATAAAGTTGGACATACATGGTATTATAGTGCTGCTGAAACTCTTAGCTGAGAGAACACACCGCGCACCACCCCACCCCCCACCCTGTAATTATGACTGGGATAGAATTGCCATTTTGAAATTTCCCAAGTAACAATTTTTTTTTTGATTTCTGCAAACAGACTTGAAATTGCAGTTTCTTTGATCTGACAATCAATAACTTTAACAAAGATCTGAAGAAATGTTTCAAGGAAAGTTTTCTTATGCAAATGTTACAATTATACTTTATTTGGGGCATCAAATTAACTTTGTTAATTCTGTATCAAAGAAAATAAACTTGCTACTTGCACTCAATGAGAAAAGTCGCTCTTTTCTTTTTTCATAGTTAGCATATTCTGTGGATGAGCTGGAAACAGACTGTGTTGTGCAGTCTATCTAAGCGTCTTATTTAGCTTTATTGTCTGCAGTAAGTAAGTGACTGCTCTTTTACCTTCAGTTAAAAAGCAGTTATATGGAACTAGTCTGTGAGGTCCACTGCCTTTTATTTCCCTAAGTTGCCACCTCGTTTCAGCTCCAACTTAATAAAGTTAATTAATCAGAACTATGAACCAGGCCCTGTTTATAGACATTGGGGAACAGTGTTATCCACAGCCAGTGTGGGAATAAATTGTTCTTGTGTGTATTGCTGAAATGAGCATTTTTGCCCTCCCATTGCAATTCCTACTTTCCTGAACACAAATCTTAAAAATCAAGAAAAGTGAAGGATATTTACACATTTAAGTCAACAGGAACCCTAACAGGGTAGAGAGAATTTAAATGAAAGAATTCTGATTATCAGTTCTTAACACAGTTTTGCAAAAAGTCGAGCTTTTTAGAAACACAACTGAAGTTCAGCCGGGCAGTTTGGATACACCCGGTGGCAGGTGAAAACTCAAACACCTGGAGCTGAGGAGCAGCCATCAGGGCGAAGCAGCCTGGCATGTGAAGGGAAGGAAAGACGCCACGCACTCTCAGGGACAGGCAGGGAAGGCACAAAATGGAGCGGCCAGCTTCAGAGCACCTGTCTGCGGGAGCTGAAGGACAGCTTTCTAGCAGGAGGGCCACGAGCCCGAGCTGGCACAGCAGTGCAGGGGCGGGCTGCCTGCAGGTCCGCGGCCCACAGCTGCGCCCCTCCCTCATGGACAAGGGCCTGTTCTGAGTAGCCCTAAGTGGGAAGACTGCAGCTATGAAGAAAAAAAAAAATACCAGAGTTGACAGAGGTAAGTGCCAGCTAGGCACCGATCATTTTCTGTTATTTCCTTGATAAATGTCCATTCAACAAGGGGCTGGAGGTGTAAAATTGGTATTTTAAAATTCATAATATTCCTTTAGCCAACTGGAAATGAAAACTATCTTAATGACCTGTAACTTGAAGGCAGACAGTGAGGTACAATTTTGTGTTTCTGAGCAAATCGTTTGTACATTTGAATTAGAAGCTAAAAGGCAAACTTGAAACCATCTGACAGAGTTCAGTGCCCTTGATGAGGATGTTCTATCCAGGCTGGTGACAAACCCCAAATAGATTCTCCTTCTCTTTCTCTCAGGCCAATGTGGAGAATTTGGCAGGAACACACAGACAACTAAGTGCTCATTGAGTTGTTCAAGAGCAAAGCCTGCAGCTAACAAGTTTTCCCAGTCAACGTGATTTAAACATGAGGGAAGCAGAGACTTCTGGTGGAAGATGGAAGAATAGGTAAATGCTGGACTCACCTCTTCTCACAACTGCATCAGAATTATAACTAAATTATAGAGTACCCATTGAGAACCACCCGAGCACTAGCTGGACAGAATTCCTCTAACTAAGCTTATAGAGAAGAAGCCTTGTGGAGACTGGTTGGAGGGGTGGAGTCAAGAAATGGGCTAGTCCCACACCCACAGTGTGTCAATTTAGCACCAGAAGGGATATCTCGGCTACAGAGCCCCCTACCCCCGAAAAGGAGCAAGGGACCTCAGCTTAAAGCTGGGCTTCCCAGACCAAGGCACCAGTTCTAGGAAGAGGAATCCCTATGGCATTTGGCTGTGAAAACCAGCAGGGATTGTGTCTGAAGGAGACACTGTGCTGCTAGAGCCCCAGCCTTGGTAGGCCTTAAAGGGCCTAAGCATAGATTCACTTGCCCACAAACTTATGCAGTCAGCTCCAATGAAGGGACTGCATCTTGAAGAGCACCAGGGACTTTCAAGGAGGAACTAAATTGCTGAGCTTCAGGGCAAGAACTGGAGAGTCAGGGGCTGGGTCAACTCCCTCCCATATCAAATTGCCTGCAGACACCATTGTTCCCCTGTTGAATACTCCCTCTACCCAATGGACAGGCACAGTCAGGCACCAAATCTGAATGCCCCATTAACACTGTTTGCCCTGGCCCGCCCACCTGCTCCAGACTTCTTCCAGTGAATTTTCCACACAAGCAGCCTGCCTGAGCTGATGCTTCAGCCTTTCCTAAAGTCTCTCAAATGTCTACAAACCCCAAACAACCAGTGGCTGGCCTTGGCAAGCCTTGTACCACTTGCTAAGTGGCCCAAAGCCTGTCATTAGTGTAGCCAGCCTCAGTTTGCAGCATAGCCTTTCCTGGATGCCTCCAAGCCCAGTATAGGTGACAATCAACTGTAGCCATTTTGTATGTGCTACATGGTGGCCCCAGGCCAGACAAGCCAGCGGCTGAGCTTAGCCTGCAAAGGAGCCCTCCCAAAAAGCCCCAAAACCAACATACTCAGTAGCTAGCTTCAGACCACACCAGAACAATACCCAACCAGCACCACAAACAACACACCCAATGGGCAGACTTGACAGACTCCAAAGCCATGCTAGAGCAATTCCCACTCCTTGAGGTGAGTCCCCACACAACAGCTTATCCGTTATAGTCACAGCCAGTCCTTACCGTTAGTCAGCCAGAGAGTCTGTCCCACCCACTGTCGTGCCAACAGCAATCAAGGCTCAGCTGCTGATAAAGGAGAGCACATATAACTGGCATGGGAAACACTTCTGGAGCACCTGGCTCAGGTGACTAGGGAGACTGTGCCTCTTGGCCCCAATAAAACCACTCTGCCAAGACTGGAAGACATAGCTAATCTACCTAATATATAGAAACACAGGGTGGCTGCCAAAATGAGAAGTCAAAGAAACATGTCCCAAATTAAAGAAGAGGACAGAACTCCAGAAGAAAGAACTAAACAAAATGCAGACAAGTATTCTACGAGATACTGAGTTCAAAACACTGGTTATAAGGACGCTCAATGAAATCAGGGGAAGAATAGAGAACTAAGTGAGAACTTCAAGAAAGAGGCAGAAACCGTGAAAAAAAAAAGAATACAATAATTGAAATGAAGAACACATTACAGGGATTCAAGAACAGATTAAAGGAAGCAGAGAATCAAATCAGCAATTTGTGAGGCAAGGTAGTGGAAAACACCCAAAAAGAACAGCAAGAAGAAAAAAGAATTTAATAAATGAGGATGTTCAAGGGACCTCTGGGACAACATCAAACATAACAACATTCACATTATGGTGGTACCAGAAGGAGAAAAGAAGAGTAAGGTTTTTCAAATCTAGCTGAAAAAGTAATGACTGAAAACTTCCCTAACCTGGTGAAGGAAATAGACATACAAGTCCAGGAAGTGCAGAGTCTCAAATAAGATAACTCAAGGAGGCCCATACCAATGCACACATAATTAAAATGCCAAAGATCAAAGACAAAAAGAAAACCTTAAAAGTAGCAAGGGAAGCCCTGACCAGTGTGCCTCAGTTGGCTGAGTGTGATCATCCCACAAAACAAAAGTTTGCCGGTTTAATTCCCAGTCAGGGCACATGCCTGAGTTGTGGGTTCGGTTCTCTGTCAGGGATGTGTAAGAGGCAACCAATCAGTGTTTCTCTCTCACATTGATGTTTCTTCCTCCCCCTCTCTCTAAAAATAAATAATTTTAAAAAGAATACAGAGAATCAAGATGGCAGAGGAGTGAGTGGAAGTCACACTGACCTCCTCCCAGGACCAACCTGGAATTACAACTAAATTGTGGAGAAATTACCTGGAACAAATAACCGAACAATAGCAAGAGAGGAGCCTTGTAACCTCAGAGACAGAAGAATCGGCTTTAGCTCACTCTAACTGGTAAGGAGTGTGGTAGAGACTCTAGAAGGCAAGTGGGGAGCACACGGCAGCACCAGAAGGATATTAAAATGGCCAGTTGGATCCCCCTGAGAAGAGCAGGATCTAAACCAAAAGTGGGGCTCTCTAGCCTGCAGCATCCGAGCCCAAAAAGTATGCAGGAAACAGCCAGCTGCGAAAAGCAGCAGGGACACTCTCTGCCAGAGACTGGCAGCTGGAGAAGCAAAGAACCA